ATAATAATAATAATAATAATAATAATAATAATAATAATAATCCAATACAACAGCCACCAGAATTTTTGAAACACAGTAAGATGTGGACTCATCTTGTTGTGTTTCTAATAATAATAATAATAATAATAATAAAATAAATAATAATAATCCAATACAACAGCCAGCAGAGTTTTTGAAACACAACAAGATGTGGACTCATCTTGTTGTGTTTCAAATAATAATAATAATAATAATAATAATAATAATAATAATAATAACAAATACAAGAGTTTTTGAAACACAGTAAGATGTGGACTCATCTTGTTGTGTTTATAATAATAATAATAATAATAATGTTCGACTTGTGATCTTTAAATACGAAATCCAGCATATATCTCATTTGCTGTGACATAATAATAATAACAACAATAATAACAACAATAATAATACAAAATGGAAGGTGAAGTATACTAAAGGGGAGGGGTCACTGAGCATGGACAGAGTGCTTTAACTCAAATACTGGCCTTTTTTGCCTTGCCTCTGAATTGAGCATGAAGAGGTTTGCAAAGTTCAGATTCCTTTATTGGCACATTAGAAAAGGAGCTACCTGGCACCTCTGGTATGAAGGCTATCTGCTATCTGGCACTTCTGGCATGAATGAGGCATATGCACCAGAAATTCCCACCATTTGTGAGTCACCTTGAGGGCATCTACTCCACCCTCTTTGCTCCCTTTGCTGCCCTTGGGTGGAATTGCTTCAAAGCCCCCCCTCCCCTTTCCATAAGACCCCCCCCCCCCTTAAGGCAGCTGAGCTGATAGGGAGCCTGTTTCGTTTCAGCGGCGCCTGCTGCAAACATCTGTTGCTGATTTCCTCCTCCGGCGAAATCCCATCGGATTTTCCATGTCCATGATGTATGGCTCATTGCCTCCCATTCCTTTTGTGCTAAGGGCACAGACGCACAAAGGCACAGGCAGCATGCACACACAACACAAAACATAAACCAGAGAGAGCTCATCCTTTCTGGAGCAAGTCTGGATTCCTCATCCTCATCCTTATTACCCTCCCTACTTCAAAGAGACTCAGAGTAGTTTCTGTGTCTTGAGAAACCAAGGCATACTATTTTGTGAGCAAAAATCTTGTAGTCCTTCAGGAGTGTCAGTCCCGGTCGGGGTTGGCTTGTTTCCCTCTTTCACCCTCCATGCGTGCTTCTGCAAATTCTGCAGCACTGCTGGTCACAGCTGACCTCCAGCTGGAGCGCTCAAGGGCCAGGGCTTCCCATTTCTCAGTGTCTATGCCAGAGTTTTTAAGGTTGGCCTTGAGCCCATCTTTCAATCTCTTTTCCTGCCCACCAACATTCCTTTTTCTGTTCTTGAATTTGGAGTAGAGCAACTGCTTTAGGAAACGGTGGTTGGACATCCGGACAACGTGGCCGTTCCAGGGGAGTTGATGGCGGAGGAGCATCGCTTCAATGCTGGTGGTCTTTGCTTCTTCCAGCACGCTGACATTTGTCCGCTTGCCTTCCCAAGAGATTTGCAGGATTTTCCGGAGGCAACGTGATGGAATCGTTCCAGGAGTTGCATGTGACGTCTGTAGACAGTCCACGTTTCTCAGGCAAATAGCAGGTTTGGGAGGTCAATGGCTTTATAAACAAGCCCCTTGGTCTCCCTACGGATGTCCTGGTCCTCAAACACTCTCTGCTTCATTTGGAAGAATGTTGCACTCGCAGAGCTCAGGCAGTGTTGCATTTCAGTGTCAATGTTGATGCCTGTAGACAGTCCACGTCTCGCAGGTGTATAGCAGGGTTGGGAGGACAATAGCTTTATAAACAAGCACCTTGGTCTCCTTGCAGATGTCCCGGTCCTCAAACACTCTGTGCTTCATTTGGAAGAATGCTGCACTCGCAGAGCTCAGGCAGTGTTGCATTTCAGTGTCAATGCTGATGTCTGTAGACAGTCCATGTTTCACAGGCAAATAGCAGGGTTGGGAGGTCAATGGCTTTATAAACAAGCCCCTTGGTCTCCCTACGGATGTCCCGATCCTCAAACACTCTCTGCTTCATTCGGAAAAATGCTGCACTCGCAGACCTCAGGCAGTGTTGCATTTCAGTGTCAATGTTGATGTCTGTAGACAGTCCATGTTTTGCAGGCGTATAGCAGGGTTGGGAGGACAATAGCTTTATAGACAATCCCCTTGGTCTCCCTACGGATGTCCCTGTCTTCAAACACGCTCTGCTTCATTTGGAAAAATGCTGCACTTTTCTAGTGACCTTTCTACACTGCTGTTGGTTGCTGCAACCGATTGACCTCACGGATGAGAACCTTGCAGCTCTCCAGATAGTGTTGGACTATACCTCCCATCATCCTGATTATGCTGAATAGGAGGTCCTGGCTGTTAAGCTCCATCAACCTGGAAGGAAACCCTCTATCTCTCAACATCTTTAACCATTGACTGTTCTGGATAGGGGCTGCTGGGAGTTGTAGTCCACTGGGAGTTGTAGTCCATCCTCAAAGGACCTTTGGAACTGAGTTGGTGAATATAGGCCTGGCAGTCCTCTCCAAAGTAACTTTTCTGAGGTCTGTTCCTCACTGCCATATCAAATCCAAATTATCTAGTTGAACTATTATATGGAGGTGTAGACTTATATAATCCAATTCAAAGCATGGTTTGATTTGATAATCAGGATTATATGGCAGTGTAGAAGGGGCCTGGGCATCGTTCCGTGTGTAGCTGGTCTCAAAATCATGGAACATGAAGCCAAGGAAATATGACTTAGTATGTTGTAGTGGTCACTTAGACAGCTACATAGTTTTAGCCATATATTCCTTCTGCTCTTTCCCAATGTCTTTGTTTATATTTCTCAAAGGATGGGCCGATGCTGGAGAAAAGGTTTCATGCTTTCCGATAGTTTTGCTCAAGAGGCTGGGGATTGGGGAGCGTGTTTACGGAAGAAGGAAGGGGTCAAGCCCTGGGTCCATTGTTGACTGGACAATGCGGTGTGGCCACTTCGCAGGGCGGTCCGAGAGCAACTGGACGCTGGTCCGGCCGGCCAGGGATTTCCCCGTCATCTTTTCCCTCCTGGCTCCCCCGCCCTTGACCCCTGCGCTTCCGAAATCCCATTGCAAGAAGCACGTTTTTCATGCCAGATTCCCTTGGATCATTTGGTCCAAGCCCTGGCTGATGATAGAAGGAGGGAAGGAAGGAAGGAATGCGGTCATGAGCTCACCAGGAAGCACAACACAAGAGGAGAGGAATGCTTGGAAATGAGGGTGCCTCAGTGGGAAGTGGGCAGGGATCCTGTACTTAGAGTTGGAAGAGACTCCTAAAGATCATCTAGTCTAACCCCCTTCTGCCAGGCACTAAGAAACAATCCAATCCCTCCTGACAGATGGCCATCCAGCCCTTGCTTCAAAAAATCAGAGAGGAAGACTCTATTTTTAATAGTTGCACTGAAAAGGGAATTTCTGCACATGTTGATTGTCAGGCAACCCGGTTGTTGTTGGTGTTTGAACACCCAGAGGTGCTCACCAATGCTTCCTCTTCGTCCTGGAAAGAAGTGACGAGTGGAGTGCTGCAGGGTTCCGTCCTGGGCCCGGTCCTGTTCAAAATCTTTATTAATGACTTAGATGAAGGGTTAGAAGGCAGGATCATCAAGTTTGCAGACGACACCAAATTGGGAGGGATAGCCAATACTCCAGAGGACAGGAGCAGGATTCAAAACGATCTTGACAGATTAGAGAGATGGGCCAAAACTAACAAAATGAAGTTCAACAGTGACAAATGCAAGATACTCCACTTGGCAGAAAAAATGAAATGCAAAGATACAGAATGGGGGACAATGCCTGGCTCGAGAGCAGTACGTGTGAAAAAGATCTTGGAGTCCTCGTGGACAACAGTTAAACATGAGCCAACAATGTGATGTGGCGGCAAAAAAAGCCAATGGGATTTTGGCCTGCATCAATAGGAGTCTAGTGTCTAGATCCAGGGAAGTCATGCTACCCCTCTCTTCTGCCTTGGTTAGACCACACCTGGAATATTGTGTCCAATTCTGGGCACCACAATTCAAGAGAGATTTGACAAGTTGGAATGTGTCCAGAGGAGGACGACTAAAATGATCAAGGGTCTGGAGAACAAGCCCTATGAGGAGCGGCTTAACGGGCTGGGCATGTTTAGCCTGAAGAAGAGAAGGCTGAGAGGAGATATGATAGCCATGTATAAATATGTGAGAGGAAGCCACAGGGAGGAGGGAGCAAGCTTGTTTTCTGCTTCCCTGGAGACTAGGACACATTGGAACAATGGCTTCAAACTACAAGAAGGAGATTCCATCTGAACATTAGGAAGAACTTCCTGACTGTGAGAGCTGTTCAGCAGTGGAACTCTCTGCCGGAGTGTGGTGGAGGCTCCTTCTTTGGAGGCTTTTAAACAGAGGCTGGATGGCCATCTGTCAGGGGTGATTTGAATGCAACATTCCTGCTTCTTGGCAGAATGGGGTTGGACTGAATGATGGCCCACGAGGTCTCTTCCAACTCTAGGATTCTATGATTCTATGATCCCATATTCAGAATGCTCCAAAATTGTCCACATTGGTGGCCGAGAGAGTGGCACCTTTGCTTTTGGATGGTTCAGTGAACCCAAATTTGGTTTCATGCAAAAAAGTAATTAGTGTCTAAAATTGTGTACAAAATTCCAGCCTGTGTGTATACAAGTGTCTATGAGACATCCATGAATGGGAAACTCCGGGCCGATCAAGACGTCCACCCAAGATCTCCGAGATGTCTAACACCTCCCTCTCATAGGTATACACTCCACTTGCCTCACTGCCAACAGAACCTCAAAAGATGCTAGCCACAGATGCAGGTGAAACGCTAGGAGAGAATGCTGCTGGGACATGGCTGTACAGCCTGAAAAACTCATAGCAACCCAGTGATTCTAGCCATGAATGCCTTCAACAATGCCTTCCACCTGTTCCGAGTCTCACCTGCCTCTATCTCACCTTGTCTCTCTCCCTCTTTCCTCTCTGCAGACAGCAAGGCCATTGTGGATGGCAACCTGAAGCTGATCCTGGGCTTGATCTGGACCCTGATCCTGCACTACTCCATCTCCATGCCCATGTGGGAAGACGAGGACGAGGAGGACGCCAAGAAGCAGACGCCCAAGCAGCGCCTCCTGGGCTGGATCCAGAACAAGGTCCCCCAGCTGCCCATCACCAACTTCAACCGCGACTGGCAGGATGGCAAGGCCTTGGGCGCCTTGGTGGACAACTGCGCTCCAG